CAGATTTTTAGAAATCTCTAATTGATATGAATTGTCACATAAATTATGTATATTTTAATTATACCGTAAATGAAATAAAAATTATTTTTACCGGCATTGGAGTAATTTCTAGCATTGCTGTTGATGTGTATGAGATTCAGTAGCAATAGTCGTCTGAATACCATTTAAACAAATTTAAATTAAATGTGACTTTAATTTGTTTACTAATTATAATGATTATAAGAGTCGTATCTCCTTTTTGGCTCATATTTCTGTCAATGGTTTGTCAACACATCGAAAAAAATAAGGAAAAAGTTGAATGAATTTTATTTAATGAGTTTGTTATTACATTGCATTTTCTCATTGAATTTAATTGAATTCAATTGGTTATAAACATATTGTGGTAAATATAATTAAAATCTATTTGTTTGTTACAAATTTCCACAAATATTCCCGTTTTCCATCAAACATTCCTAAGCATCAAGGCCGTTTATTTGGCCCACAACACTTGGAGCAAGTGCTCAAACTGGTGGTCCCTTTCATTTATTTAAGAGATATACTGGTGTTTGTGATGATAAATATAATTAGCCTGCTTTCTCGTCTGTTATCAGTGCAGTTCTGGTTAATTTCAGTCTTAATTATTATTTATTTATAGTTATGATTACAAAAATTTCGTGCAAGTTAAATAGTTCATAAACTTTTTACTAATTATACAGAAGTAGTAGTTTTTTGGCAGTAAATGTTATGATAGTAGACGTGCACTGGAATATTCAATGATACAGTAATATAAATGAACCATTTTAAGCACATTTGTAAACACCGGGCTCAGTTTTAATTTAGAACTATGTTATGATTTTAAATTTGGTGATTTATATTAAATGTTTATTTAGAGAAATATCAATTGAAATAAGAATTAATTTGAGTCTAAATAAAACTTTTATTAAAACCTACTAATATGAACCATAATTAACTCACAATGTCAGATGCTGAATATATGAACTGGTTGCTTTGATTTGTTATTTATGATTTGTAATTATATTTGTAATTGAAACCAAAGTCTATGCAAACAATTGGTGCAAACGAGTTGAGGTCAAAGCTCGACCTAAACGATGACAACTCGGGAACGTGTCTCCATATCTTACACTAATGTACATAATTGTACAGTACATATGTACATTAGTCCTTATTATGGACTTTGAATGTATTATACAGTCTATACTCCTTAAAAGCAACCTCTACAAGAGCAATTCTCCCAATAAGCAACACATTTCTAAAGCACCGGCCGCTTCTATGGCAAGTGTAATAGCATAGAAGCAACTCCCTATAAAAGCAACATACAGTCTATACTCCTTAAAAGCAACCTCTACAAGAGCAATTCTCCCAATAAGCAACACATTTCTAAAGCACCGGCCGCTTCTATGGCAAGTGTAATAGCATAGAAGCAACTCCCTATAAAAGCAACTCTCTTTATAAGCAACTAATTTTTAAATCACCAATGACTTGCTCTTATAGAGTATAGACTGTATGATATGGAGACAAACTACGGTACAGATAACATATAATGTTTCATCAATTGATGTCTGCAATCACTGTAAGAGTCATCCGCACACTGCAAATGAACAAAAGATTATCCAAATCTTGTCTTAAGACAATGCAATCATTTATTCGTGTATTGCAAATAAATGGTGAAGTTTCTAAGAAACAATAACTGTATTATATTTCATTTGGATAATCAAAAGCATACAAAAAATATGATATTATTTCTAGATTTTCAATGGGAGAGGGATTAGTAATACTAATTGATTTAAATAATCCCCAATAATATTTTAATATTATATTTATCAATAATTTCTAAATCATTGAATGTGTGAATCATTTCTATTAATAATGGACAATAAATTGAGATATTGTGAATACAGTATATTGTTAATATACTGTATTAAGAAAGATATTAGCGATTGGAATATCTATTGCATACTTACCGGCCCTTTGATCGACACTCTATTTCTTAATCAGAAAGCTATTAATGTTATAAGTTTTAGTTAATTGTATATCAATTTCTAAGAGGATTGCAATAACTATTTCAGTGAATAGTTCCAAAAAATATATTTATTGTTTCTCTTTAATACAAAATTCATGTCATCATAATAATGTAGAATTTTTAGGATTATGTGGTTATCAGTGAATTGTGCACTTTGATATTTATTTTTTTAATTGTCTATACTGTACATCATAAGAGTTTTGTACTAAAATACTTTATGTAATCCACAATTTTATGTAATAGTTTAACTCTATTATATAATAGCACAAAAGTCAAATAAATGTACTGATTTATTAAATGCCACAATCAATATAATATATTATGAGTCAATTAATTAAGATTACTTAATAATAATATTTGGTATAAATTATATTGAATTTGTATTTTATTAGGAAAACATATTTTTAAAATAAAATTCTGTGAATATTATATTTGATGAGTTTATTTGTTTGTTTTAATCAATTAATCAGAAATAAATACACAAACAAAATACTTTATTACATATTATAAATATATTATATATTAATCAGGAATTTTAGTTAAACCAATATAAATATATTAACAGATATTGGCAAAAATTATCACATGTCTCTTATCATTAATTGATTGTTATAGGGATCTATTATACAGTACCAATAAGTATTACCAGGATAAATTATTGACTTTGACTACTACAGTACTAAAAAATAATACAAATTCCAAAATCATTAAATTTTGTTTAATTGAGTTAATGCTACGAAAAAATGAATTCTGTATATGTTATCAATTCAAGTACATAAGGTTTAACATTTAAATTGTGATAACAGTTGTGAGAATACCTATAAATTGAATGTCATTTCCAATGAATTGTGTTTCAGTAGTTTATAATAGTTTTCACCTAGTTTATTAATTTATTTATTTTCTAATATTTTTGATTTTTCTACTTTTGTTTTATGCTATTATAAAAGTGCTGAAAACCAGATTGGGTTGTGAATAGTGTACATATTATACAAATAATAAAAAATATAAAATGGGTAAAATTGTGTACGGGATCATATTAGCTGTGGGTCTGGTGCTGGTTATCGGTGGGGCCGTAATCCTGGGAATATTACCCGGAATTATTAAAGACAAAATAAAAGAGGTATTACTTGTTTATTATTAGAATTTAAATTATTAAATAAGTTTTACTTATATTTATTAGTATTCTTATAAATAGTTAACATAGTTAATAAATAGCCAAACATCTATAATTCTTATAATTATATTCAAATTAGTATTATTATTATTAATTTATGAACCAAAATATATATAAATTAACATGTTCGTTTAAAATAACATGCTAATTTAAACGCAAATTGAAAAACATATTGTATATGACATTAGATGTTTTCATACAGGGTCACATTTCTTGACATTTACTGTTATCACAAATTATCGTTTATTAATCATTTATTTTATAAAACGTCGACAATTACACCATTTTTATGTATACTTTGTATATTTCTAGCTATATGATAAGTCAATGATCATGATAAATATATATACATTAATTAATTAACTAGCAAATATTGATAAACTATAATTTCATATTTGAATTGATAGGAGGTGCCCATAACTGATGGCAGTGACGCGTATGACCGGTGGCAGGAGACCCCGGTGCCCCTATACATGAAGTTCACATTCTTTGAGCTCAAGAATACCAACTATACTAACCTACAGGACATTGAGTTCGTAGAGAAGGGCCCGTATGTCTTCAAAGAGACCAGATTTAAGCAAAACATCACGTTTTTAGACGACGACAATCTGCTCTCATATCTAGAGAACAGGACCTATGAGTTCAGTGCAAAGATGTCCTGCAAGGGCTGCAAAGAGAATGATTCTGTCACTTTCATCAACTTCCCTATGATGGTAATCATCGCACACTTATCATAATGAATAGTATATACTGTACATGTTAATTATTTATTCAAATACTTTTTTATTTTGAAATATACAGGGTTTCGGATTAAACGAGGGATTGCCTACACTTTTAAAAGCAAGTGCCCGAGATATGTTTTCACGCAATATGGCATCACTACCACCCGATGAGATGCAGCTATTTATTACGAAACCAGTGGTCGAAATTTTATTCACTGGTGTCCCCTATAAACTGTTTGCTATGATTACGAAATTTGTCAAAATTGAAGGCATCACTGATAAATATAGTATTTCCGATGTAAGTATGATAACTATATTTATATTATATATTTAATTTGCCATAACTCGTTGTATCTCTAATGTTAGTTATATATAATATTAATTAAAATATTTTCATTAAATAAATATTTTAAAGGGCAAAAACTTATTAGAAAAAGAGTGGACGATATATACGGGCAAAAAGGACACTGCTCAAATCGGACAAATGACATCGTTTGATCACATGCCGTATGTTACCGTTAGACAAAATGTGTTACAATCACTATTATAATTTATAATGCTTACAAAAGGTATCTTGAAAATCACATGGATAACACATCCATTTGGGATAAGGACATGACGAACACGACATGTAATAAACTGAAGGGAACGGACGGCACAATGTTTAAGCCCGACCTCAAGAAAGACGATGTCATCTATGCTTTCGAGCCGCAACTGTGCCGGTATTGCATGCAATTACATACTACTCGTACACTGTTATGATGTACACACAGAATATTCTGACACATTCTAACGTAATATCGCAAACATATTACAGAACCGTTTACTTTGATTACTGGAAGGAGAGTGAAGTGCAAAACATCGATACCTTGAGGTTCAGAGTTCCCAAACGATACTCAGAGAATCCAAACATCAATAAAGACAACACGTGTTATTGTATCCGCGATGACATCAAGAAGCAGTGCTCCCGTAATGGTCTGCTGGAGATCGCTCACTGCCAGCGCCGGTCAATAGGCGCACCCATCGTCATGTCGTCCCCCTATTGGAACAACGGTGACGACAGTCTACTCAAACAGTTCAACGTTGAGATCAAACCACCGAAAGAGCGCAACGATGATAATTATGGCACTTATCTCGATATCGAACCGGTATTTCATTTGTACCCATAAATAATGCACACAATGCTATGGAATTGATTTTATGAGAATTATGTGATTAACAGATGACCGGAACCACTCTCAGGGCATACAAGAGAATGCAAATGAATCTAAGAATATCGGGAACCGATAAATTCAAACCTTTTTTACCGTGAGTCCACACTAATAGTTGTAAAATACAATTTAATATATATATAATGAATGCATTGACAGGCAACTAACAAATACTAAGGACTATACGAAGGAATATATTGTACCCGCGTTTTGGGTCGAAGAGGTATTTACTGTTTTATTCACTTTTTTGTATTATTATATTAATTGTTTGGACGGATAGACGGCTGAGGCGGATGAGGAACAAGCGGATAAGTGGAAGTCAATGGTGGGAACGCCTAAAAAAGTTGGAAATGGTGTGTCCATTGCGGCGTGTGTTGTGGGGGCTATTATGACAATCGCTGCCATTTACCTGTTTGTCAGAAACTGATGAAAAACTATTTATTAGTTTATTTAATTGTAATTTTTTAGAAGTATTATTCATCACTTCATTGTATCACTTAATTAAAGCATTATAATATTTGGTATAAATTGCATTAAATTTGTATTTTATTAGGAAAACACATTTTTAAAATAAAATTCTGTGAATATTATATTTGATGAGTTTATTTGTTTGTTTTAATCAATTAATCAGAAATAAATACACAAACAAAATACTTTATTACATATTATAAATATATTATATATTAATCAGGAATTTTAGTTAAACCAATATAAATATATTAACAGATATTGGCAAAAATTATCACATGTCTCTTAGCATTAATTGATTGTTATAGGGATCCATTATACAGTACCAATAAGCATTACCAGGATAAATTATTGACTTTGACTACTACTAAAAAATAATACAAATTCCAAAATCATTAAATTTTGTTTAATTGAGTTAATGCTACGAAAAAATGAATTCTGTATATGTTATCAATTGCAGTACAAAAGGTTTAACATTTAAATTGTGATAACAGTTGTGAGAATACCTATAAATTGAATGTCATTTCCAATGAATTGTGTTTCAGTAGTTTATAATAGTTTTCACCTAGTATATTAATTAATTAATTTTCTAATATTCTCGATTTTTTCTACTTTTGTTTTATGCTATTATAAAAGTTCTGAAAACCACATTAGGTTGTGAATAGTGTACAAATTATTTAAAAATATTTAAAATGGGTAAAATTGTGTACGGGATCATATTGGTGGTGGGTTTGGCACTGGTTATCGCCGGGGCTGTAGTGCTGGGAATTATGCCCGGATTTATTAAAGACAAAATAAAAGAGGTATTTCCTATTGTATTTCATTAAATATTAAAATTAGCTTTGTAATATTTATTTTTATAAAATAATTTAATTGTTTAATTTATTAATATTTTAATGAATAAATAATATATATTTAGTAGGAATTAAATTAATAAGTTGAAATTATTAAACAATATTTATCATATATTGTTTGGTTATATTTATAATATATAATATAATTTATAATATTTTAACAATTATATTACAATCATCCACTACAAATATGTTTAATAATTATAAATACTTTGTTAAAATTAACACTAAATTATATAAATATAAATTCAAATATGTATTTAAAATGTTTTGAACTGTAAGTCCTTTCATAAGGGTAATATTTCTTGACATTTATTGTTATCTCAAATTATCATTTACTAATCACTAGTTTACTAATTTACTAATCATTTTATATTATTGAGACAAGATATCACTTTTTATACTATTAATTTTTAATAGTGGTTAGTATTAGTTATTAACAAACAATTATTGACTAATATAAAATTACTGAATTTAGAATAAATGGTTTACTTATTAACTGAGTGCTGGTTGTCATAAATAAACTGAACAAAAGTTGATAACATTTAGAATTTTTATTTATTTGTATCATGCGCAAAATTCATAGTATATTATATATTTTTAAATTGAATGCATATATGTTACTTAACAAACAAATTTTTACTTAATTTGCGAATAATTGACTCAAATTGATAGGAAGTGCCCATAACTGAAGGCAGTGACGCGTATGACCGATGGCAGAAGACCCCGGTGCCCCTATACATGGCGTTCAGATTTTTCACACTAAAATATACAAACTTTACTTCTCTCGATGATCTCCAGTTCCAAGAGAAGGGTCCATATGTTTACAAAGAGGAGAGAACTAAAGTGAACGTCAATTTCACAGACGACGGCAATCAGGCCTCGTATTACGAACACAAAGTCTATTCGTTTAGCGAAGGGAAATCGTGTAAAGGGTGTAAAGAAAGTGACAAGCTCACTTTCATTAACTTCCCAATCTTGGTAATGATCACTTATGAGACAATGTTGACAAACTAGCTCCACAACTAACTATTGATATACACATAGGGAATAGCATTCAACACTGGATTCCAAGACATAACTGGTGATATGGTCAAATTCTATTTCTCAACGCAATTACAATTAAAGAATATTCCCGTCAACGAGAGCCAACTCTTTATAACGGCACCGGTAGTCGATATCTTATTCACTGGCGTCCCGTATAAGATGTTTGAAATCTTAAGTGGCATGTCACCAGATATTCCAAAGAGATATGGTGTATCCGATGTAAGGCACCCGGCTCATTTTAAATATGAATAAAAAAATTTATTACACATAAATAATAATTTGAATGAATAAATGTGTGACCAGGGCAAAATATTGGATGAGGAAGAGTGGACAGTATATACTGGCAAAAAGGACATTGCTCAATTGGGACAAATTACATCGTTTGATCATAAAACGTATTTTATAATCAAACATAAACTCATACGAAACGCATACTAATTATATGATTAATTTTGAAGTTCCCTAACAAATGAGGATAAAAATCATTCAGTCGTCTGGAAAAAGGATACAAAAGCCGAGACATGCAATAAACTGAAGGGAACCGATGGGTCCATATTCGCACCCGACCTCACCAAAGATGATATAGTCTACGCGTTTGAACCGCAACTGTGCAGGTTGGTTTTCACAATGTCATTAATACTATTAATGTCGTTAAAGAATATCATGGTAATTTAAATACTAAAATAGAGCGCATTTTTGAAAACATAGAACCGTTTACTTCAAGTACTGGAAAGAGACTTCGGTGCAAGACATCGACACGTATAGGTTCCGAGTGCCCAGGGACTATTTCGAGAACCCCAATATCAATGACAAAAACACGTGCTATTGTCTGTACGATGACATTAAGAAGCAATGTAGTCGTAGTGGTTTGCTCGACATATCCCACTGTCAGCGACGATCATTAGGCGGACCCATCATCATGTCGTCCCCCTATTGGAACAACGGTGACGACAGTCTACTCAACCAATTCAAAGTGCCGATTGTACCGCCACAAGAGCGCAACGATGATAATTATGGCACTCTTCTCGACATCGAACCGGTATTTGTTTATATAGATTTAGATTTATGCATTTAATTGATCAAGTTCAAGTAATGATTGTGTGATTACCAGATGACGGGAAACACTCTGAGGGCGTACAGGAGAATGCAAATGAATGTCAAATTGTCGGGAAGTGATGCTTATAAAGACGTTATGCCGTGAGTGTTCATATAGTATATGATTTAAATATAAAAACGAAACTTTTTAAACCATACTAAATATGATGACTATTGGCAGGGAATTAACCAAAACTAATAAGACTAAGGAATATATTATACCCGCGTTTTGGGTCGAAGAGGTATTGCTTTTAAATATATTTTTATTTAATTAAACTAAATATTAATTGTTTGGACGGATAGACGGCTGAGGCTGATGAGGATCAGGCGGATAAGTGGAAATCAATGGTGGGAACGCCTAAAAAGGTTGCAAATGGTGTGTCCATTGCGGCGTGTGTTGTGGGGGCTATCATGACAATCGCTGCCATTTACCTGTTTATCAGAAACCGATGAAAAACTATTTATTAGTTTATTTAATAGAAGTTTTCAAAGTATTATTCATCACTTCATTGTATCACTTAATTAAAGTATCATGGCATTTGTACAATTATTACTTATATTGACAAAATAAAATATTATTTAAATAGTTTCTAGTAAAATAAATTTAGTTGATTTTATTAATTTGTATTTTAGTAAATAAGCATGGATATTTTGGCAACATAAAAGTTAGATAATAATCATAGAAATAAATAATAGATACTATAATACTAGTGTTGAGATATTAATAAAATAGTTTAAAATAATTTATTTTTTAAAAACTTTAGTTTGTTTTCAAATATCATGTATAATATATTAATTTTAAATAAAAAATTGCTAAATATTTGTAAGAATTATATTGATTTCTAATATTCTTGAAATCATTTAAAATCATTATCTATTAATTTTATTGGTAACTATTAAAATTGTTAGCATATTTACAAACATAAATATATTTATAATAAAGAAAATAAAATAGCAATTATAAATATCGATTGACTGCCAAAAAGTAATAACAATTAATTTTAAATGTTATACTACAATTTGCTTCAAAAATATGAAATACTCGGAATAATTATGTAAATTAATGGGATGTATAGCAAAAATTATATTCATTTATAATAAACATTGGTTTTTTACGAGTTTTAAGTATAAATACATAAGAATTATAGTTCATTAAAACAAATGAAAATCAATTTCCCAATTCAAGGATTTTATAAGAATTGTGTTTCAAGAATATTCTCATCAATTTGTTTCCATATATTTAATCGCTTTCTCGAAGTAGTTCTCATGATCTTTGAAAGTAATGATTTTCAGGCATTTATTGTGTGTTTTTAGTTCACATTTCTATTGCCAACTGAGGGCTGAGAAAAAGATTTCTGAGTCACGCCATCGACTAATTCTGCAGAAGTATATTAAAATCATAATAAATATTGTTTTGCATATTATTCTGCATATAAAACACGCAATGAATACAAATGCAAATATTTAATAAAGTATTTTTTATAGACTTTTAAGTTTTCAAGACTAAACTGAACTTGAAATTCATGAATATATTAGAGTGCAATAGTTTAAATTTAAGTTATCTATTTTAAACCTTCAGATTCTTAACTATAAGTTTTTGTTTGAATACTCGGTTTAAATTGACTTTCATTGATAAAATCAGTTATGTGTCGAGTATTGAGCTGTTGTTTTGCACTGATTTTACTGGTGATTAGTATTGCCATAATCGGGATCAGTCTTTATGTTCACATGGATTTTGATGAGATTATGG